GTGGACAATGACAGTGAGACCTAGAGGGGTATGGTTGGGAGGAATGCCCTTATCTGAACCAGAATGGTGTTCTGTTATTGGACTTCTGTGCTCGTCATAGATTGTCCATAATGAACAACATGTTCAAGCATAAGGATGTCCATATGTGGTCTTGGCACCAGGACACCCTAGGCCACAGTTCGATGATCAACTTTGTTGTGTGCTCATTTGAGCTGCATGTCTTGGAAACTCGGGTGAAGAGAGGGGCGGAGCTGTCCACTGACCACTACCTGGTGGTGAGTTGGCTCCGATGGTGGGGGAGGATAATGCTCAGACCTGGCAGACCCAAACATATTGTGAGGATCTGTTGAAAACATCTGGCAGAGTCTCCCGTGAGACGGAGCTTTAACTCCCACCTCTGGGAGAACTTTGAACACGTTCCAGGGGAAGTTGGGGACATTGAGTCTGAGTGGGCCATGTTCCACGCCTCTATTAACCCACGCCTCTATTGTAAACCTAGTAAGGAAACTGAATGTTAAATTGGGTTTCTTTTTCAGAAATAGATCCTGTTTAACTCTGAATGCCAGGAAAAACCTTGTAACTGTGACTTTCCTTCCCTCCATTGACTACGATGACATTATATACATGAACACCTACACGCAACCTGCAGATGCTGGATGCTGCCTATCATGGTGTACTAAGATTCATAACTGGCTGTAATTGCCATACCCATCACTGCACCCTGTAGTCACTGGTTAACTGGACATCATTAACTTCACACAGACTCCCACTGGTACATTTTCATATTTAAATCACATCTTGGTCTGCTGCCTTCATACATCTCCTCCTACGTGTCTCTGCATGAGTACAGCTACAGCGTGCACTCTCAGGACATAATTACATGCAGTGTCCCCTCAGTGCAGACTGAACTAGGCAAAAGGGCCTTCTCCTACTCCACTTTTGTTTCCTGGAATATTTTCCAAAAAATCTGAAGCTCTCAACCTTGACCTCTCTAAGTGGCTTTAAATATCGGTAAAGTTCTTGGCAAAAAACCCCAATGCAGATATGTTCCTGTTTTTAGTTTTCTACACCGCCTTACATCATAGTTGTTTTTTTGCTACTTTTTATTTTGATTGCCCATTTGGCGGGCACGCGCAGAGGGACGAACCTCCGCATTTCTTCGAAATTTAACAAGATAAACACCAAAAACAATTACTTGTTTGCTCAAAATTATAGTAAAGGTGTGTCTCAGTCTAACTTTTGCTTAATAGTAGCTGCTACTACTCTGCTGCCATCTGGTGGCTGAAAATGGCACTGTTTTGTCCAGTCAGAATTAATTAAAACGGTTATCTCAGCCAAATATTTGTTTATAAATATGGGAAAAAATCCATAAATACCCTGCTTCTGCCTATAAGTCACAGGGCATGCAAATTATGCAAAAAACTTGACTTATAGGCTGAAAAATATGGTAAATTGACCCATATAATGCCATCATTACCTTACAGCAGGGCTGTCAAACTCACTTACAAAAGGGGGGCAAAATTAAAACATTTTTCAAACTAAGGGCTAATCTCAGAAACTACATTAACTCAAATCAGATACCCAACATATTTTCTTGGTTTCAGGTTCCTCTACAAGAGTTTGGTCTCATTTGAGACAAATTTGTCTCTCAGTTGTGGTATCGACATCATAATCAAAGATTAGTGAAGAAAAAAATTCAAGTGATAAAAGTCTTTTTATATTTAACATATCATCTTTGGGGCCAGACAAGATGCCACTGAGGGCCATTGTGTTAGAGTTAGGGTTAGCCCTAGCCCCCGGGCCTTGAGTTTGACACGTGTGCCCTAAAGTGTCCCAAATACAGCCATCATTACCCTACAGTGACCCAAATACAGCCATTTTATCTTACAATGACCCAAATACAGCCATTATTACCTCACAGTGACCCAAATAAAGCCATTATCATCTTACAATGACCGAAATACAGCCATTACCCTAAAGTGACCCAAATACAGCCATCATTACCTTACAATGACCCAAATGCAGACATCAATACCCTAGTGGCCTAAATACAGCCATCATTACCATACAGTGACCAAATACACCCATCATGATCCTACATTGACCAAAATACAGCCATCATTTCTGTACAGTAACCCAAATATAGCCATAATTATCCTACAGTGACCAAAATAAATCCATTATTACCTTACAGTGACCCAAATGAAGCCATCATTACCCTACAGTGACCCAAATAAAGCCATCATTACCCTACAGTGATCCAAATACAGCCATCATTACCTCACAGTGACCCAAATAAAGTCATTATTATCTTACACTGACCCTAATACAGCCATCATTACCCTACAGTGACCCAAATACAGCCATAATTATCTTATAAAGACCCAAATGCAGACATCATTACCCTAATGACCCAAATACAGCCATCAATACCATACAGTGACCCAAATACACCCATCATGATCCTACATTGACCAAAATACAGCCATCATTACTGTACAGTAACCCAAATACAGCCATAATTATCCTACAGTGACCAAATTAAAGCCATTATTACCCTACAATTACCCAAATACAGTCATCATTACCCTACAGTGACCTGAACAAAGCCATTATTCATTCATTCAACCTTTATTTATACAGGTTAATCCCATTATTTATACAGGTTAATCCCATTGATTCGTGGACTCATTTACAAGAGAGACCTGATTTTAACAAATAGTGATGACAACAGTGGACAACAGACAACAATAGACACTCATAAAGGATGGTTACAAATTGAGATTTTTTAATATAACAAGTGAAAATAAAATGGTATTTAAAAGAAAAAAAACCCCAGCTAGGTTGTTAAGGCAATGTAGAAAACTAAAAATAAGAACATGTCTTCATTGGTTTTTCCCAGGAACTTAACATATGTTTAAAGCCACTTATAGAGGTCAAGGTCGAGAGCTTCAGATCTTTATTACCCTACAGTAGGGTGACCAGACGTTCCTGATTTTTGGGGACAGTCCCCATTTTGGACGACCTGTCCCCAGCTAAAGCTACCCCCAAAAATGTCCCGGATTTGAGTGTTTTATGAATGAGAAAAAAATATTGCATTATGCTTGGGTGCAGTTGAGCTCAACAACTGCTGTTACTGTAGCAGCTGGTTGTGCTGGTGCTGCAGCGCTGACATTACAGACAGAGATGAAGAGGCGCGTGTGCTACCTTTAAAACGGAAGAAGAAGCGCAGTGCGAGTTTGTCAACACTGGGAGTTCTCCTGTGATATGGTATGTATGAACAGATTTATTTAGTTTGAACTGGGCTGATCCTTCCTGTGATAAAAGTTTTGTTCGCAGTAGGAAATGTTTCTAGTGTCAGCTGCGTCCAGGTAAAAATAGGGCTGAGATGTGTTTAGTTTTACTAAAGATGAAGCCCAAACCAAGCTTTTATTAACAAACTGACAGCTTGAGTGAGAGAGAGGGAGAAATCATAACAGGATGATGAACTGCCTTCAAGCTGGTTTATACTTGACGTGTTGAATAGTGTGTGAGGGTGCACACACCATAATGGTTCATCCAAAGTAAGCTATTTTAGAAGTGATCGGTGACCTTTAGTTTATCATTTGAGAACTAGTTATGAGTTGTTTTGGTAATATACTAAAACTCAAATAATCTGCTGGCTCCTCAGATAGTGTTAACTTACTTTTATATATATGAATGTTTCTGTTCAAATGACTTCTGTTGTAACTTGGAGCTTTATAAGTAAACTGAATTGAATTGTTTGTGAACATAGACTTTCAGGCTTAGATGTGTAATAAAATATTATGATCATCTGAATCAAATGCAGCACTGAGGTCTAACAGGACCAATATAGACACCTGTCCATTGTCAGAGGCCATGAGAATATTATTGGTAAATTTTACCGGTGCCGTTTCTGTGCTATGATGAGCTCTAAATAATTAAAAATAATGTTAATATTTATAATAAGATTATACTAGGATAATCCCAGTTTCTAATCTAAAACATAAACTTCTATAGGGTATCTGAAACAAAAATCTTGTTTTCTTTGTTAAATGGTAAATTTTATGTATGTTCTAATATTTTGGAGGTGTTTGTGATTATATTATGTCTCTGTTTTAGAGTAGTGGAAGACTTACAGAAGAGGAGAGAGGAGGGAAATAGACTAATAGAAAGAAGACTTAAAGAGAGAAGAAAAATACAAAGACTAAAAGAAGAAAGAGTGAATGAGAGCATAGGAAAATAGGAAGACTGATGCTTGGTGTCAGGTTCACTGTACTTCTCTAACCACAGCAGTGTGAAAAGGCAATTTTTTGAGTGATGATGAAATGAGTGGAAGAACAAATAAAAAGAAAATAATAGGTACTGGTATATAATCATATAAACTGTCTTATTTCTCATAGGACCAATGCAGACATGTTCCTGTTTTTAGTTTTCTACATTCGCCTTATAATCTAGCTGTTTTTGTTACTTTTTTGCCATCTTATTTGTAAAAAAATAAATAAAAATCTGTATGCCTTTTTATAACTGTCTATTGTAGCAGTTGTCCACTGTTGTCATCGTTCTTTGTTGAAATCAGGTCTCTCTTGTAAATGAGTCCTCGAGGCTCAATGGGATTAACCTGTCTAAATTAAGGTTGAATGAATGTTTTAAATATTTCTCTTTACTATTATCTGCTCTTTCAGTTTTGTACGTAAACTTTTCTGCTCTTCTTCTATTCCAGACCTCCATGGCCACCATTTCTGATGACTCTTCAGACAGAGGAGTCTTCGCAGAACCAGAGATGAGCTCATGTCAGTGGACTAACTGACCTTCACTCACCTCACACATACACACATATAAATACACATCAGCTACGTAACCATACACTGTGTACTTATACACACCTATAAGTACATACATGTTCTCATTCACTCACAAGGTATGCACGCTCACTTACTAGTATATACCCTTGACCCTCCCTCTAGTTTAAGTACTCTGTTACTACTATTATTACTTTATTCAGTTTATTACTCTTGGGAAATGTTAACAGTGTGGAGAGACATATTCCTGCTAGGGCATTAACAGAGTACTCGAGTAATCTGCACATCGATTGCTAGGACATCTATCGAGGTTAAAAATGTAACGTCGGGTATCCGTAGTGACGTCATATTATGTGACCACCATATGAACGTAGGGGGCGGTGTTGCACTGTTGCAGGTCACAGAGTATGGTGTAACACCAGGTCCAATCCACTGAACCAGAACCAGTTTCGGTTTAAGTTTCGTTTTTGATGTGCTACATGTTTCTTCACGTTTGCAGTTTAACAATAATAACTAATGGTTTAGTTTTTCCTGTGACTTCTTTGCAGTATGATAAATTGTAGGAGCATAATATACACTCCCAATGTTTTGTTGGTCTTTTTTTTGGTAAATAATTACCTTTTTTTGCAGTTTTATTTATTTATTTATTTTTGTATCTTGAGATCTATGATGTCATCAAACACTCGAGTTCTACTCGGGTTTTATTATGTTATTGTCGAGTTTAAAACATATATACTCGTTCAACCCCTAATTCCTGCGGTTATATTTGATGTTTATTGTTTAAACATGAATAAATATGTAAAAATAAATCAAACTGTAACTGTCCCAGTTTTTAATTTCATCTTTATAAAATTTCATTGTTTTTGGTCTCAGAGCTGGAAATGTCCCCATATTTCACTTCAGAAATCTGGTCACCTTAACTTACAGTGACCCAAATACAGCCATCATTACCTTACAGTGACCCAAATATACCCATCATTACCCTACAATGACCCAAATGCCAAGATGGCCCCACTCTCAGGAGCTGCAGATTCACAGGCTCCTGGTTTGATCCCAGTTTTCATGAGTTTTGAAAATGACTTCGAGCCTGACTCTGCATGCTTTATGCATGCGAATTATAGCGTAACCAAATTGATGAGAATTAGAGCAGATTTACCACAGAATACATAATCAATCGGCAACAATTTCAAATCTACGCTCGGCAGAATGCAGATCCTAAAGTTATCTACGTGGAAGCTTCAGTGGAGGCGCTCTAACTGGAAGAGGAGGCACTACTCTTGGCTTAAGAAGCGAGGTTGCTGGGCGGGGGTGCTGGTAAGGCTAAAAGCTAATGCTAAGGCTGGCAAACTGATACCCTCTCGCTTTCTGTCGAACAACTGCTCTTTGGACAAAAAGATGGATTTGTTTTGTCTGAAAGTGAGTGCTTCAGAGAAGATAAGGAAATGTGTGGTGCTTTGTCTCATGGAATCATATCTTTACAGCAACATGCCAGATTCAGTGTTACAGCTGAACAGCAGACTTTTTTTCCGAGTGGACCGCTGCAGCGAGCTAAAGGGGGAAATCGCGGGGAGGCGGAGTCTGCATTTATGTGAGGAAACATTGGTGCACAAACTGTACGCTGATAAACCGCTGTTGCTCCAAGGCTTTGGAGCAGCTAACAGTGAAATGTTGACCACATTATCTACCCTGCGAGTTCACAGCAGCGTTCAGAACAGTTGTTTACATAGCTACCGACTCTCTGAAGGAGCTTCATGATCATCTTAACTCGCTGCAGAGCAAACACCCTGGGGCTTTTTACATGGTGGCTGGTGACTAATCATGTAAATCTAATGGACTGCCTGCCAAGATTTTATCAGCATGTGGCCATACCAATGCGTGGAAACTAGGGCTAGAGGATATATCGAACATAATAATAATAATAATAATAATGAATTTAATTTGTAACGCACTTTTCATTAACAAAAATCTCAAGTGCTACAGAGTGCAACTAAAATCAATGATAAAATCAACTAAAATCTGTGATAAAATCAACTAAAATCAATGATAAAATCAACTAAAATCAATGATAAAATCAACTAAAATCAATGATAAAATCAACTAAAATCAATGATAAAATCAACTAAAATCAATGATACAATCATGTGGAGGCAGAATGGGCTTGCTTAAAAAGAAAAGTCTTTAAGCCTTTTTTAAAGTCAGTCAATGATTGTGGAGCTCTCAGATATTCAGGGAGGGAGTTCCAGAGGTGGGGGGAAGCCACACAGAATGCCCAATCTCCCATGGTTCTTAATTTAGTTTGTGGAAGGTGGAGGAGATTACTGTTCTGTGATCGTAGGGACCGGGTGGATGAATATAGAGCAAGAAGGTCCTTCAGATAATCTGGTGAATTTCCGTATAAACACTGATGGGTGATGAGAGCAATTTTGTACTGAATTCTGTAAGTGACAGGAAGCCAATGGAGGTTATGGAGAATGGGTGTAATATGTTCAAATTTACGAGCTCTCAATAAAATTCTGGCTGCACTGTTTTGAATATATTGAAGCTTCTGAAGGTTTTTGCCGGGTATTCCAGTAAACAGGGAGTTGCAGTAGTCGAGCCTGGAGGAGACAAAAGCATGGACGAGTTTCTCTGCATCAGCAAAAGTGAGAGATGGGCGCAGTTTGGAGATATTTCGAAGATGGAAGAAACAGGTTTTAAACAGATGCTTAATGTGATTTTCAAATGTAGGATGAGAGTCCATTTTTATTCCAAGATTTGTAACAGAGGTGGAAAGGGGGATGTCTTGCCCAGAAAATGAAATAGTCATTATAGTTGAAGTTTGAACCTGGTGAGGGGTGCCAATCAGTATGGCCTCTGTTTTGGAGCAGTTTAACTGAAGAAAGTTCTGATTCATCCATGCCCTCATCTCCTCCAGGCAGGTAGAGAGGGCAGCGAGTGAAGATGGAGATGACAATGGTGAAGATGATGCTCCAGTCCTGATGTAAAGCTGTGTATCGTCAGCATAACAGTGAAAAGAAATGTTGTACTGATTAATAATTTGACCTAAAGGCAGCATGTAAAGGGAAAATAGCAGGGGCCCTAGAACTGACCCTTGAGAGACACCACAGGAGACACAGACAGTCTGGGACTTGGCATTGCCAAGACTAACACATTCCAGCCTATTGGAGAGGAAAGATTTAAACCAGTCCTGGACAGTGTCACAGAGACCGACCTCCACATGAAGACGGTGGAGGAGGATACCCTGGTCCACAGTGTTGAAAGCTGCAGTGAGGTCAAGGAGAACAAGGAGGGAGGGAGAACCAGTGTCAGCAGCCATGAGGACATCACTGGTGACTCTCAGCAGTGCGGTCTCAGTACTGTGAGCTGCACGGAAGCCAGACTGAAACTTCTCATACAGAGAGTGTTGTTGTAGGTGCATCTGCAGCTGAGCAGCAACTGCTTTTTCCAGCACTTTTGACAGAAATGGGAGGTGAGATATTGGGCGGTAATTAGAAAGAATGTCTGGATCCAAATCCAGACATTCTCATACTTGATACATACATACTCGATGTATCGCAAGATTTTCTATGTACGATGGTTAAAATGGCTCTATTGCAACCATTTCGAGTATAATAAGACTTGAACATCTGTGTAGTTGTTTTTATTCCGTCTCCGCCTCCAACTTCACACAGCCCCCTCCTTCTCCCTCCCTGTGTTTTTATGTTATGAGTGCTTAGTGTATATTTAGTTTATGTTTTTCTTAGTTCATATCTTAGATGTTATTACTGTTTTTCTTATACATTTTATTGTTGGATGTAACTGGGACCCTGTGTACATAATTTCGCTCCATCACATGTACCACATGAGGTGCGAATGACAATAAAGAATCTCTGACTCTCTGACTCTGAATAAAAACACAACTCATGCATGCTACCCCCGCCTCCTGCTTCTCCAGGTGTGTGTGTGTGTGTGTGGGGGGGGGGGGGGGGTAACACAATTAGAGGAGAGCAGCTTAGCTGCTGTGCAAAAAGAAAAACAAGGGGCTTTATTTGGAGATGTTTAGATTTAAATGGTCAGATGAGCAGCAGCAAAATGTTTTCAGTAGACAATGCTGAAAACAAGTCCCGACAAAGGTCAGAACTACAAAGATTTGAAGCTCTTGACCTTGACCTCTCTAAGTGGCTTTAAGAATCTGTTGGACTCCTGGCAGGGACCAATGCAGATATGTTCCTGTTTTTAGTTTTCTACATTCACCTTAGAATCTAGCTGTTTTTTGTTACTTTTCTTTTTTTAGCCTTTCTATTTGTAAAAAAAAAAGAAAAAATTTGTATGACTTTTTATAACTGTTTATTGTTGTTGCTGTTGTCCATTGTTGTCATCATTCTTTGTTGAAATCAGGCCTTTCTTGTAAATGAGTCCTCTAGGCTCAATAGGATTTACCTGTCTAAATAAAGGTTGAATGAAAAAAAGCTTTTTCACCATTTAAAACAGCGTTATAAGTTAAGTTATATGCTACAGCTCCGACTGTGTTTTCAGCCTCCTTTTCTGAAACAAACCATGGGTCAAAACTAATTTATTAGTCGTGCTGTGCCTTATGAGCGCAACAGTGAGAGATGCCACCACATTAATAAATTAGCAGCTTATCATATCAAAAGCACAGTCCTTAGCGGCTAACAAGACTGCTAAAGTTAGCAATCTTGTTTGCTGTTAAGGACCATGTCTTTAGCAATATGACAAGCTGCTGCTTTATTAATGTATTGCTGCCTCTCACTGTAAGACTTGAAAATCTGTGTAGCTTTTTTTCTGCATGTCCAATTTCACACAGCCTTACATGTTGCTTCACACACGCTTACGAACATTGTGTAGATGGCGCAGCTGAAGATGATTATTATTTAATTTACTGTATGTACGGTAAATAGCTTTTTTTTTAGACATTTAGTAGAGTTACAGCTGTTTGTTAATAAATATGCCTGTGTGACAACTGGGACAAAGCTTTGATTCAGAAATATATT